TTTCCCTACCAGGAGCAACAGCAAGGAGTGGGAGAAAGCCAAAAGACTGTTACCTCTGTTCGTGTCGTAGGGAGCAAGAATCTCAGGCTCTGACCCATCTTTTCTTAGGTATACCCACTGCGAGTGCTGCCTTGGCTTGTCTTCGTGAAAGAAAAACCTGGCCAGATTCACCATGTGCAACTGCTGCAGAAGACCTCCCCTCTAAATGAGCAGAGGATGCCATTTAGCTACGGGCTGCTGGATGGACTTTATCATGAGGTCCCAGTGGTCAGCTGCTTCACTCGCTCTTCTCTTCCCCAGGGTGGCCTGTCCAACGAGATGCTTGGGGTCCGAGTCCGCTTCATAAATGGAGACCAGGACCGTGCAGTCCCACGCTGGAGGCTCAGGCAAGTGGAAGAGGAAAGTCTCATTGAAGATGATGAGCGGAGTGTGGGCCCGGGGCCTGGACTTCTGGTGCTTTTTTCCTTGGCTTCTGCAGGAAAAATCTATCCTTGCGTATACATCTGGGATGGGGAAGAGAAAGAAGAAATGAAACATTGGGGTATCTATGCCTGTCCCAGAGCTGGGCATTTCACATATAGACATAATACCGCATAAGGTAGCCATGCTGGAAAAGGGCTGTGTGTTGATTAGAGCTGAATATCGCAGCTGTTCAGGCTTGATCCCACATTTCTCAAAGCTAGTAACAACACTTGTGCTGGCTTCAGTACTGCGGGAAATCAGACCACTTGACCAAGGCAATCACATCTTGGTAGGTACATAGCTAGTAGGACCACACCATCCTATAATAGTAGAGCATGATTTAACAAGGACTACCTCAGAGTAGTCTCTGTAGTTGTGGAACAAGCTCTGAAGTTAGTAGAAACAGGGTGATGGAGGAAAGGATTTACTGCTACTAGCCCTGTAAGTGCTTATGCTAAAGCCAACACCTGCAGCAAAGCTCAGAAAGAAACAACAGAGAGGAGCCTTTGCAATCGCTTTGCCTGTATTTAATTAGCAAAATGGAGAACAGTGGCTTTAGAGGTACAGGCGAGAAGATCTTTTGAACATTTAAGGCTGTGGGAAGAGTTCAGCCCAGGAGAGACCAGCTCAAGAATTCAAAGTCTGCTGTGCTTCTCCCAGTCCCAAGGGGAAACCTTGGACACACAACTAAGAGGGAGAGCAGGACATAAAGTGTGGCAAGCAGAAGGGCTGCCTACCTTCTCTCTGTTTACGTGCTGAGCACTACGGAAGGAAAATGGCCGGATCTTCCCCTCCCTCCGTTCCTCCAACTAGCTGGATGGTGCAGAGGAGAAACCCGCATAAGACAAGGGCTCAAAATTTGAAGCGTCCTTGTGTTGTGCATCAAATGTTGGGTTACATGAGAAAAAGGTGGCTTCACTTCAGCCTTCTCAGGGTAGGGAGCTGTCTACAGCTTATCTGCAATGCAGAGCATCTCTAAGGCTGCTCTCAAGTGTCCATGGCCTCAGAGGGCCATCTCATCGGTGAAGATTGAAGGATGATAGTGATGCTCTGGTTACATCCCCAAGGAGCACTGTAGCATCTCTGCACTGCCCCCACCCCAGGGCATCCTCAAGAGGAAAAACAAATTGGCTCTATACTGAGGGCAACAGGACTGTGATGAAGTTTGGTCTTCAGGTCTCTGCAGAGCAAAGAAATGGGATTCAAGTCCTGTGATGAAGGGAAGAGGAGTGGAAGGCATTGCCTGAGAGAAGTAGCTGGGCATTTCATTAGTGTGATGAGCCAACAAAAGCAGCTCCCATGTCAAAACTCACAGGAGCTAACATCAGACGGCCACCTTGCTGAAATGAGCTGGGGGCTGTGCACCAGCTCATGGCAGTGAGCAGCAGATGGAGACAGCAAGGTCAACGCTACCAAGGGAAGGTGGTTCTTCACAGAAATGTAGTTTGGTGTGGAAGTCCCTGCCACAGGGCGCTGTGGATGCTAAACATTAGCATGGGCTCAAGGGGAGACCAAAGGAGTGCAGGGAGGAGAAATCCGTTGAGGATTTCTAAACACACAGAAGCCAACCCCAGCTCAAGAAATCTCTAAGCCATGAATTGGAAGAGGCAGGGTGAGGGAGGGAGAGTATCACTTACGCCCGTCTTCTTTCCATACTACTTTGTCCTCTGTCAGAGACAGTCGCTAGGCTAGACAGACTTGTGGTCTGATTCATAGAATCACAGAATCATAGAATCATTAAGGTTGGAAAAGACCTCTAAGATCAAGTCCAACCGTCAACCCAACACCACCATGCCCACTAAACCATGTCCCGAAGCGCCTCATCTACACGTCTTTTAAATACCTCCAGGGATGGTGACTCCACCACTGCCCTGGGCAGCCTGTTCCAAGGCCTGACCACTCTTTCAGTAAAGCAATTTTTCCTAATGTCCAGTCTAAACCTCCCCTGGTGCAACTTGAGGCCATTTCCTCTCGTCCTATCGCTGGTTACTTGGGAGAAGAGACCAACCCCCACCTCGCTACAACCTCCTTTCAGGTAGTTGTAGAGCGCGATGAGGTCTCCCCTCAGCCTCCTCTTCTCCAGGCTAAACAGCCCCAGTTCCCTCAGCCGCTCCTCATCAGACTTGTGCTCCAGGCCCTTCACCAGCTTCGTTGCCCTTCTCTGGACACGCTCCAGCACCTCAATGTCCTTCTTGGAGTGAGGGGCCCAAAACTGAACACAGGATTCGAGGTGCGGCCTCACCAGGGCCGAGTACAGGGGCACGATCACCTCCCTGCTCCTGCTGGCCACACTAGTTCTGATTCAGCAGCGGTTCTTGGGGTGCGATGGGCATGCAAGGGACCTTTCTCTCCAACACCTCCCCATCCCTCTGGGTGGGTGAGATAAAGGTAGCAGGCAGCAGAATAAAGACTGGAGCAGCAACAGTAGCAGATATAAAACCCTTACTCTTATCTGCAGTGCTTCGAGGGAATGTAGTTTTGGCCTTGAGCAGCCCGACCTCTATCCTCTGAGAGATGGGAAGGCACTTTAGGGACACAAGCACTTCTCCCACAATGTCCTGTGAAAGGCATATGGGCACGTGGTGAGCAGACGTCCTGCAACAACCTCTGCAGCCACCAAGGCCACGCGTCAACCTTCCTGCACGAACGTGTTCTTGGGGCCTCAGCAACAGAGACTGCAGGGCCACCACAGGTGCTGGCCGCACCCTGCTTTTCAGTGTTTTTCTGGAGACTGAATTTTACCTTTTTAACAACTGCCAGCATCCGCTCTTTATTTGTTTGGCGTGGCAGTTTCCCTTTCTCCTAGGGGTGAATGGAAGAGCCCCTGTTCTCCTGTGTCTGGATAGCCTGGATGTAAGGGTGTCTTCTGAGTTTTGAGTCCAATCAAACATGCCTGCATGAGGTAATACGGTACAGACTACATCCATGGGCATCTGTGCTAGTTTTATGGTACTAAAGTACTAATTCTTATGGCACCATGGTATTTTTTTCCGGAGGGCCACAGGAAGCCCCACAGGCTGTAGACTTTGCCACGTTAGGGCACTATGAGAGCTAGGTCTAGAATTAAATTCATGTTGCTCACATTTTACATCAACTTCCCGTGTACAGAGAATGAAGAGATGTTTCTTACAAACAGTAATTGTTCAGGTTGCTGGACTTGAGATGCCACTTGTTCTCTGTTATAAAATACACTACTGTCATCAGCAACTACTTAAAATACACCTCTAACATTTTAAAATTGCTATTAATTCCTTATTGGAACACGTCGCACGTCTTCATTTTGGGCCATCAGTCTCTTTAAACAAACCAAATGGCCACCAGTGTGACACCAATGCACAGTGAACTCTTGTCTCTGTGGGTGGAGAAGGGAGAAGGTGCTGCAACACAAGCTTGGTCATCAATATGCCTTTATCCTTCCCTGGAGATCTCACCTTTAAGATGCAATTTCAAACTCTATCCTTGTAAAGCCCTGTCTTCCTGCATACCCTACCTGAGAAGTGTGCTGGGAGCAGAAGAGTTCTACCATGAATATCACGCAGATGGTCTCCAAGGGTACGGGGTGTGGATTTTTCATTAATAAAATGAAGGGATGGCTGTATTGACATGCAGCTCCCTGGCCACCGTGTGGGCACACAGGGCAAAGCCATGTGATAGACTCATCACCTTTGTATTCTCCTGCAGCTCTTCACATAAAACCAAGCTTTGGGAGGCCTTTAGCTCGCTCAGGGTGACCCTGACTTCTCCCAGCACCGTGTTTCTGGAGTATTTGTCGAACCGTTGAACCTGTGGGAGAGAGGGAAAAAGCGTGTCCATGGGGATGAGGTGCAGGATGGAGCTGTGCCACAAGTGCATCCACGTGGACGACAGCTGAACCTCATTCAAGGAGGGCTACCTGCCTTTAGGGCCTATTTTCATGTGTTTCCATTCTCACCCATGGGCTTTTGGGGGAGTCAGGATTGGGCTGTCATGATAGCAAAGGCGGCCCATGCCAAGGAGTAAAATTCAGATGCTTTCTTTCACTGGTATCACCTGAAAAAGCTCTTCTGCTATGCTTCCGCCTCTGCCAACGCCCTACCGCTCTTGGACATCTGCCTACTGGAACATCAAGCGGCGTTACCTCGCCCTGTCCCCTTTCTCAGACCAGCTCGAACAGGCTGTGTGAAGGCCACGGCCCCTCTGATCTTGCTGAGCCCTGCCCTTCCTCCGTGCCCTTCCTCCAAACCAGGGCTGGCTGGAGGAGCGGGCAGGTGCTGGAATCCCCTTGCACAAGGGCATGTCCTCTGCCAGCTGCCCACACTTGCCTCATGGCAGCTTGGGGCCGTCACTGCATGTGCCCACACGTGGCTTCAGTCCCCAGTTTGTGTCCCCCCTCCACAGCTGTTTCTCCCGCATGTGGCTCTCCAGTATGCGACCGTTTCCCACGTCTGGTCCAAGCTCCCTGGCTTTGCTGCCTGCTGCCACAGGAAAACTTAATGGCCAAATCAAAGAGGCTTTGAAGTAATGTGCAACCGGGCACTTGTCAAGGAATATGAGACCTGTAGCAAGATGCGGGAATCACCATTCAGGTTCAGACTACAAGCCATCTAGTCCACTGATGTCTTTTGAAATAGCAATTGCTGGCTGCTCCTGGGAGGGAGCAAAACCTGCCAGAGACCATTAAAGGACTACGTGCCCCCGGGAAAGCCGTCTATCCCTGGTTGGTTACACCTCCAGCTAACACCTCCAGACCTGTGAGTTTGTACCAACTCTGCAGTGCTGGTTTGTCTTTATCCTGCTGCTAGTGCAACTCCTGTTTTCTGGGTGATCCACTTCCCTCTGCCCCCAGCTGAGCTCCCAGGCACCACGGTGTAACGTGGCAAGGGGTTCAAAGTCCAAGGACTCCAGCTTCGTGCCCTTCCTTACAGCTGGCTCGTGGTCTCTGCAGATCATTCGCAGGGAACAGTTGGTTGAAAAATTTGTCTGCTGTGGATTTCACCCATAATATCTTCACTGCCGTCCTCTCAGCACACATTTCAAATCCATCCCAGCCTAGAGGACGTCTCACAGCTGTCTGTGCCAAGGCATGCTGTGCATTTAAAATCCCCGGGCATTCGCAGGTACATCTGCAGTGTTACGTCTGCAGCTAGACCCAAACTAGCTCTAAATGAGGCAAGTCAGAAGCAGCCAAGCGAGAGTAACAAAGAGTTAGGGAGAAGAGGCTATCAGGAGTTGTAGGCTGCTTCTGCTCACCACGTTATCTCCGTTAGAGCTAGCTCTGCTCTCCCCGCGCTGTATGACATCCCTCAGCTCGTTCACTGCAGAGCCACGCATTTACCCCGGGCCTCAGTTTCTTTGCCGCATCCTGCTGCAGGACTGTGCATCCAAGCACGTTTCCACAGGGAATGCCTGTGGCAAAGGACGGGAGAACACAGAGCACCGGGAAACACAGATTTCAGGGAAATCGAATCCCCCCCTATACCAATACTGCGAAGCCCAAAAATAAAATGCCCAAGAAATTAGTAGGGCACCCCTTTGAAAGCTAAAGTGTTTTAGGGGTTCTAGGCTTTCTGACCCTTCTGGCTGCTGATGCTGGTAATTGGCAATCTTGGTCTTATTTGCGTTGCCAAAGGGCCAACCTCCCAACTGTCTGTACTCTGAGAAGACCCGGTGACTAACGCCCTTTGTGTTCCTCAGAGGGATAAGAGAAGGAGACATGTCCAGAAGCACATTTCTTCTCTGGTCAAGGCACCCTTCTTTATGTCTACTGAGTTAGCTTCCTTCTCACCTCCAGCTTCAGGGTGCTCGTCTCCACCTCAGCATCCTGCAGGGAGCAGACAAAGCGGTCCCCAAAGGCTGGCCTGCTGCAGTTCTTCACCACCCGGCTTTGCCACTCCTGGACCACGCACTGGAGCCCGGGGATGTGGGATGGGACCTGCCTCAGCAGTCGGACCCGGACGGCAGACTCAGCACACCCACGGCTAGGCAACCCCCAGGCCTCCAGGCCAGTCAGGAGCAGCTCGCATTGCTCTCTGCAGTAGAGGAGGGAGAACTTCAGCGTGCCC